TTGCTCTTCTTTCTTTTTTTTTTTTTTTTTTTTTTTTTTGTCCATAGCTCTCGTAAGACTCATGTATAACAAAATCATTAGCATTAGTACTTTTTCTTATTTTTGTAAAGTGATTTGATCTGGTCTCCATCCTTCGTGAATAAACTTCAATAACTTTGCTTGTTGGAACTTGTTAATAACTCCGAGTGATTTCAGTAAATCTTTGGTTAATGTAACAAAGAGTCTGCCATTAATCTGTTCTTTTTTGAACTTTTCTACATGTTGATCCATGTTCAAAGCTTTTAGACACCAAATGACTCCTTCCACATCCAACGAGTCAAGTCTCTCAGGAAATTCTGTCAACGCAGTGTTATTGTCTGGTTTTTCGAATGCTTCTAAGTTTGGGCGCTCCTTAAAACTTGCAGTGTTGCTACGAATAGTGTTGTCCTCTACATATCGTCCTTGATCGTCAGACACTTCGAGATTGTACGAGTTAACTGTCTTAGCCGAATGACTTTGACTTTCAGATGGTGTTCGTAAGCAAGGAAGTGCATTCATAATGCGAGTACAAAGGTTTTGATTACTAGTTGTCGTCGATGTGTTTATGTTCGAATTTTGCGGTAAACTCGTGCTACGGGTTGGAATCGGTGGGGATATTTCAGGCTCCTCGTAATCATCACTTGAAGCATCGTCATCATCATCGTCATCATCATCATCATCATCATCATCAGAGCTATGCTCTTTTTCTGGATGTAATGGTGCTCGCTTAGTTCTAGAAGGAATTTCTGGCGGCATGTCCTCATAATCGTGCTCATCATCTTCATCTGAAAACTCATCCACAAATTCATAGATTCTCTCCACCTTGGTATCTGTTTGTCCAATCCTGATGCATTCTACACCCAAATCATCTAATTGATATAGACGAGCTCTTTCGTGGTAGAACTGACAGACTTCCACATATGTGTAATCTCCCTGTTCTATACCTACCCCTACTTTGACAGTAATGTCCGTATTAGCAGGTATCTTCAGCACCATAGTTCGGTTTTCATTTCTAGTGCTTGCTACAAATTGATCTGTGTGGTGAATACTTTGTAACGTAACTTCTCCAAGGTCTGCTATAGTCGAAAGGTCTTCATAAATTCCACCTTCCTCGTCTGGTTTTATTTGCAGAGTTTTATCTGTAAATCTGATTCTCACAGGTAACTCCAAAGTCTCCTCAACTTCCGTCAGCCATAGCCTCTTAATATCTGGAAGTACATGGAAATCTGCTTTATATTCGGTAGGAATAATGACATCGTCTTGCTGTCTGGATATGAAAGAGAATCTTAGACGTTCCACTCCCCGGTCGTTGTATACTTCGTGTACTCGTAAAGTATCGCCAGCTTGTATGAGTAACCATGGATGATTGTGGATTGATTTAACTATTTTAGCCGAAACATTGATAAGCTCCTTAATACTATGATAAGTCCTGATAGCTTCACAGGACACTGTCTCTACTGTAGCTTCGAGATTAACTGGTATGTTAATTTCTTGGCCGTTCTTGTCAACTGCTTTGTAAAAACTAACTTTCTGCAGAACATGTAGTGTTAGAACGTCATCACGAGAGAGCGTCGTCTCGTCTTTCTCGTCGTAGTAGCCATCTTCCACACACACTAGTTGAGGAAGTTCAAAGTGCTGGTGAAATTCTCGTAGTCTATAGGCTTTTTCACTCCAGATAACAGATCCTGTGTCCATGGCCATAGCAGACTTACAGCCTGAACGATGTTTACGTATTTTATGCTCCATCGATCGATATCCGGGTGATCACGTTGATTACATTTGCCTATTTTGGAACAACGGAATGTGACCTTTCCGCGTTTTGTGTTTTGCGCGTCACAGGCAGAGTTTGTTATAAATAAGTTCGAAATCCTTGTCAACAAGATTAACCCCGCGTGTTTCAGTTGAGTCTGTCACAAAATTTGTGATATCATTAGTTGAGCTTCGAGAATCCTCGACGCAAAGCTTCCACTGAATAGTTCACTTTTATGTAGTCTCGCATATTTATACATCCTGAACGATCAACTCTAAACCGATTTAGCATCGTAGAAAAACATAGCTTTAGCGTTCGGTTTCGATTAACACCACAAAATGAAACAGGCCGTACAAACGTTCAGCCATTCATGGTGCAAAAGGCAAGAAAATACCACAAAGCTGGTAATTTTTACTATATATGTGACAGAGTCAAAAGACACTATTTTGGACAGTAATTATTTAGTCATAAATCTATATTTTTAATTAGGAATGCCTCGTGTACACATAGGAATGTAATTCTTTAGTTAACTGTTTGCGTGGA